TAAGTGATTCCAAACACTCTTGGAAAAAAGCAAAATGAATGCTAGAATTAGAGCACAAAATAGAAATCTTTATTTTCTCCTTCAGTCTTCAAAGGACTTGTCCACACCAAAGACCAAGTTAAAAAGCTGTTTCTTTGAGCAGATGATTTGAATATTGACATTCATTTTCCAGTCTCACACACACACACACACACACACACACACACACACACACACACACACACCTTCTAAACCCATTTTAAGCTTTAGTTCTGCTTGTAAGAAAAAGATTGGGGATATAGAAATACCAATATATTCTTCTTCCCAATTGCTTAGCACCTTGCCCATTGTATTCACTCCATTTTTCTTCATGAATCAACGTTAATATTAAGCTAAGCTTGTTCTAGGCAAAAAAAAAAAACCATAAATACTTAAATTTATTGTAATTTTTTTAATTAACTCTGCTGTTGTGTAAAAAGGAGCTCTGGTGGCCTACCGGGTAGTTTTAATCTGCCTTTACCTCTGAAGGAGGAAGATGTGCAGTCTCTTCCTAAGGGATTTATAGCCTGTGAAAACCCACCAAAGTGTCAGATGAGTGGGTCCAGCCTTGATTAAGATCATTGTATCCATTTCAATATGCTCTTTTGTAGTTCTGCTGTTGAGTGTCCCTTTATAGATTGAGAGATAATAATAATAATAATAATAATAATAATAATAATAATAATAATAATAAATTCTAATGTTCTGGTAACTTAACATTTCTACTTTTATATCATCTTTCCTTGGGCTACCATATATAAATATCAATGTGTGGGATATTTTTTCCTTATAAATTTGTAATTTATGTAATTTATTTGAAGGAGTACTATTTTGATGTAATTTTTTTTCAGGTTGTTTCTCATGTGACAAATTATCGCTACCTCTGGATGTAATATTTTCGCTGAAATGTGACAGGTGAAATTGCTCTTTTAATGATATCATGATACTCTCAAGAATTCCTGGTGACTTAGCATGTTACACGTTCTATTGTTAATAAAAAAGTCAGCAGTTAAAACCTACTAGACACTGTGAGAGAGCTAGATAGGTAACCACATCCTGTAGAAATTCACAGTGTTCAGAAACCTGATGGAAGGGTCACCATGAGTCAGAACTGACGTGAAAGGAACGGGGTAGGCTCGCAGCTTTTTACTCAATCACTGACCACTATTCAGCTTTAGGAAGACATCGGGAGGAAGGAGTTTGTGCTGCCTGTTATTTAACAATTTGATTAGATAGATAGATAGATAGATGATAGAGATGTGTAGAACCTCAAAATCTAACTCATTGCCTTTCGAATCTGAACCAACTCATAGGTGATCTCCCAGCAAGTTTCCGAGGGTGTAAACTGTAGTGGAGTAGACTGCACATCTTTATCCTGTGGAGCATACAGTGGATGGAACCATCAGAGAGGTGATGTCTTTAAATTAGTAGTGCAATTCACTACCGACTGTACTACCAGAGTGTCGTGTGTGTGTGTGTGTGTGTGTGTGTGTGTGTGTGTGTGTGTAAACATTTATCTTTTGATCTACTTATGTTTCCTTTGATGGAATATATTCTCTTTTTCCAAATCACAATAGCTCCAGAGAGAGTATCTGGGCACATATTTTTCTATTGTTGTTTAGTGCTGTCAAGTCATGTCAACTCTATGAACAACAAATTTGAACCCTGTCCTATCCTGTGCCATTTTCATCATTCTTGACATACTCAAGCCCACTGCGGCAGTCACTGTGTCAAGCTATCTCATCAATCCTCCACTTTTCCTAGTGTAATGTTCCTTTCCAACGTACAGCCTCTCTGCATATGCCCAAATTATGTGAGATGAAGTTTTGGCATCTTGGTCTCCAAGGAGAACTCTGGCTGCACCTTCTCCAAGACATATCTTGTTTGTTGTTTTGCTTTTGTGGTTTTTTTTTCCTTCTCTTTTTCTTTTGGCAGTCTGCGAGATAGTATTCTTCTCCAATACCACAGTTTAAATGCATCAATTCTTCTGTAATCCTTATCTCTTGCCCAGCTCCCAGACGCATAGTAAGTGATGGAAAAGACCATGGCCTGAATCAGATGCACCTTAGTCTTAAAACTGACACTATTATTCCTCAATAATTTGGACAGGCTCCTGACTACAGACTTTCTCAATGCAATATGCCTCCTGGTATCAAGGGTATTGATAGTGGATCCAAAGTAAGAAGAAGTTGTTGACAATTTCAATCTTCTCCATCTCTCATGATGGAGCATTTTAGTCCAGTGGTGAGAATTTTTGGGTGTTTTCTTTTTTTAATGTTGAAATGTAATTCATTTTGAAAGTTATCATCTTCTGATCTTTTGATCAAGTTTTCCTCACTTTCTGCAATGTCATCCTGCATTATGTGTGCATAAAGCAAGTTGTTGATGAATCTTTACCATTCTATGGCAGGAAATTTGGAAGATGGTTACCTAGCATACTGAATGGAAGATATTCATATTTGTTCCCATTCCCAAGAAAGGTAATCCAACAGAATATAAAAATTCTCAAACAATTTCATTATTATCACAACCAAATCAAATATTGCTGAAAATCATACAAAAAATAATAGTACTGTACATTGACAGAGAACTGCCAAATGATCAGGCTGAGTTTAGAAGATACTATGGTATCAAATTGCTGTTATGAAATGGATCCTTGCTTAAAGGAGAGACAAGAAAATTGTCTTTATATTGACTATGCAAAGGCACTTGACTGTGTGGATTTACAAGTAGACCCCACCTGATAAATGATATAGGATTCTGATTAATGACATCTGTGGAAAGAATCATTGCAGAAGGTTAATAACCAGCAGTCAAAACTATTCCAGGTGCTGACTGTGGAACAGACCATCAATTACTAATGTGCAAAAATTGATGCCTTTGATTTGTGGTGCTGGAGAAGATTACTGAGTATACCATGGACTGCTAGGAGAATGACAGATTTGTCCCATAGATGGTGAATCCAGGCTGCTTCTTGGAGGCAAAGATTGTGAAGCTTTGTCTGACACACTTTGGACATGTTGCAAAGAGGGATCAGTCTTTGGAAATGGATATCATGCAAAGGGAAGATAGAAAATGAGAGGAAGACCCTGGATTGACTCAGTAACTGGGGTAATAGGGGTAGGTGTTTCAGAGACAATGAGGTTGGCTCAAAATAGAGCAAGGTTCAGAGCTGTTATACATAGGGTTGCTATAAGTAACAAGCAGTCAGTGGCACATAACAATAACAATGTCAATTGATGATGAAGAAAATTAAAACAATTCCACAAGAAACAAAATATGACCTTGAGTCTATCTCACCTTAATTTAAAAATCAACTTAATAGTTTTGAGACATTGGACACCAATTATAGATGACAAGATGAGTTGTGGGATGAAGTCAAGGATATTTTCCATGAAGAGAGCAAAAGGTCAGTACAAAGACAGAGAAGAAGGGGAAAATAAATCTAAATAGACATTAGAAGAGACTCTGAAAACTGCACTAAGAGTACTGAGAAGCCAAGACAGGATAGAAATGTTGAAGTAAGAGAACTGAACAGAAGATTCCAAAGGGCAGCTTGAGAAGGCAAAGCATTATTACTGAATGTGTAGAGAGCTGGAGTCAGAGTATATGACAGGAGGAATTGTTTGGCATTTCTCAAGCTGAAAGAACTTAAAACAAATTCAATACTCAAGGTGCAAAACTTAGAGATGCTATGGGCAAAATCCTGAATGATCCAGGAGGCAATGAAAGACAATGTAGGAAATATATACACAAAGTTACTATATCAGGAAAACAAACAAACTAAAAACCACACACACACACACAAAACCTTCAAAAACCACAACAGGACAACATGGAAATATTTCGGCAAGTTTCATATAATTAAGAGCCAATAGTAATGAAGGAAGAAGTTCAAGGTGCACTGAAAGCATTGACAAAAAATAAGGTCACAGCAATCTATGGGATACCAATTGACAAGTTTCAAATAACAGATATATTTCTGTTGGCCTGCAGGAAACCTCTGTGTGTCCAGTGGAGGTGGCTTGTTAATACCACCAGCTCTTCTTGCTTCCAACCTTACCTCAGACTGAGACACTATGTTACATGCAAGCATGAGAATGAAATAACATTCTTTTTCCATATTAACTTTCAATAATTCTTATAAACATTTTCCTAAATGTATACAAAGTCATTTCATTCTTTTAAAATCCAATAACAAACACTTGATACGTTGATACATTGTGTTAAAAATCATAATTTCAGGATGTAAATCGTAGCTTCCTTAGAGTTGATTTTCCCACAAGCCCCTGACATTCAAGTCATTAATAAGCTTGTCTATGCCTATCCTTTTTTTCTCCTCCTTTTCCTGTGTAAGTTTAATCTGAATGAGATGTGCTCCCTTTATTATTGGGATTCTTATTATAACTATTGTGGAGAGATGCACTGGATTAGGTAGTTGAAGTAAATGCAAACAAGGGAAAACAAGCAAACATGTTTAATCTTACTGTTATATCACGTTGTTATATCACATCTCCAACACTTTTCTAGTGCAAACACTTTTATCTTCTGCACTCAAACCCTTCAGTTTAGAGGTCTTGCTAGTATTAATCCGCATGCAATTTCATCTGTTACCATTGTTAATAACTATTTAAATGATAGCTCCCATGATTTTGAAAGACTTCCACAAATGAAGAATGCATGCATAATATCAAGCCAAAATAGCCAAAAGGCCCAAAAAAAGTTTGTATAAGCACTGATCTCTGGGTGGGGTTTTTTTCTGATTTGAAGACTAATGAAGTAGAAATTCAAACTCATATACATCCTCAAAACTACACCCAAATAATGAAAACTGTGTTATATATTTTATACAGAGGGTACTAACTCAACACCATCTGGTTATTTTTTTTAGGCACCATTTACTCTCTCGAAAATTTAAGGCCATTGATATCCATCACAATCTGTAGGCACGATTGTTAGGTAGAAAATGCTCAGTCACTTACCGGTGTGTAGATAAATTACTGAGATGAAGTCCATATTTTTCCTCAGCAGATAATCCATCCATCAGCAAGTAAAAGATGAGAAAATTACTTTGGCCCAGAGGTTGTGAAACAAGCCGGGATTTCTCTAGCAAATACGTATAAATTCTGGCTAATTTAAGCAACAAAAAAAAAGAGAGAGAGAGAGAGAGAAAACAAATTAAGAGTGAATCTGTAAATGACATTATTAGGTTTTGCTACTGCATAAATGTACACATATTAATCAATAAGAAGAAATAGTAAAACAGATTCTTATTCAACACAATTTTAAGCAAATGTTATCTGAAAATTACATATCCTTACATTTATCAAAGGTTCTGAAAGAAATCTTGGAATTTTCATTAGTAATGACTCACAATGTTAAGGTGCTGTGAATGTTGTTGTTTTTTTGGTGCTGTAGAGTTTACGTGGACTTGTAGAGATTCTATGATAATGGCTTTGGACCTATCTGGTATCATCTTTATCATCTCTGATATATTTGAGCCCGTTGTTACAGTCACTTGTCAAGTCCACCCTTTTGTGGGTATTTCTCTTTCATCAAACTTCCACATTTTGAAGCATAATGTCTTTTTTTAAGAAATAGCACCTCCTAATAGTATGCTCAAAATTTGTGAGATGAAATTTCACCATCCTTCTCTCTAAGGAGTACTTTATCCATTTTTTCACTTTATCCATATTTGTTCTTTTGGCAATCCATGGGATATTCAGTACCCTTCTTCAATACCACAACTGAAAAGCATTGATTCTTCTTCTGTCATTGTTATTCATGGTCCAACTTTCAGATGTATTGAAAAGGCTATGATTTTGGGTCAGGTGCATCTTAGTCTTTAAATAGACACTTTTGCCCTTTAGCATTTTGGAGAAGTCTTTGACCGCAAATTTTCTCAATGCAACACGTCCTTTGATTTGCTAGTACATACAGAGGGTGTGGATTTTGGATCCAAGTAAGATTAAATTGTTGATATAATCAATCTTTTCTCAATCTATCGTGTAATTTCCTGTTGGTGCAGTGGTGAAGATTACTTTTGTCTTCATATTCAGTTGTAATCTGTATGGAAGACTTTAGTATTTGATCTTCTGCAGTAAGTATTTCAAGTTTTCCTTGCATTCAGCAAGCAAGGTTGTGTCATCTGCATAATTCAGGTTGTCGGTGAGTCTTCCTCCAATCTTAATGCCACATTCTTCTTCATATAGTCCAGCTTCTCAAATTATTTGCTCAGCATAAGGATCAAATAGATCTAGGGAAAGGAAATAGCCCTCACCCACATCTTTTTTGATTTTAAAGCAAGCAGAGTTCCCTTGTTCTGTTCAAACAGCTGCTTCTCAATTTAGTATAGGTTTCACATGAGCACAATTGAATGTTTTAAGATTCCCATTCTGTGCTATATTGTTGCTGTTGTTATGTGCCGTCGAGTCATTTCCGACTCATAGCGACCCTATGCACAACAGCCCTAAACCCTGCTCTATCCTGCGCCAACCGCACTGCCTCTGACACACCCATCCCG